TTATGTGTAGTCGTATCGTCAATTGTAGATATATGTTTCATTCGACCCTTGAATTCAAGTTCCACAACCCTACTCATAACGTGTCCAAACCATTCAAAATGGATGAGACATTACAACTCTGCAGCCACAAAAAAAAATCTACACAATATGTACTAGTATAATGTTTCTAATGTAGCTGACATAGCAAAATTTATGAAACCCACAATAATACTAAAAGAAATTAAGTAGTATTAACTATACCTGATTAAAAAGACAATCATTGCAACATATATTTACAGATATTACAGATATTACAGATCAAGATATGCAAAGATCACAGATCAAGATATGCAGAAGATCAAGATGCAAGATATTACAGATCGAATTCTTAAAAAAATCCTGACGCAAATAATTTTATACTGTAAATTTATCTCTGTAGTCCAGATTTCTTTTGGATCCAGATTCTTGATAAGTATCTAATTAAATTACCCGAGGCACGAGCGTAAACATTTAGGTAAAATTGTATTTTTTTTGTAACGTTTTGTTTTTCTTTTGTAAATGTATTGTTATTACAAACTATTATGTCTGTTATACAAACTAAAAAAAAACACCTTTACCTGTTATCCTTACACTTCATATTTTTTCCATTTTGGGAAATTTGATAACTATTCCCTATTATGAAGCACACTCTAAATGCTCTAAAATGTAGAAAAAATCTAACCTATCATTTTGCTTCATTAAACTATATTAAAAATATAAAAGCTAGTAACAATAGTAGCCAGCAAGTATATTTTTTCTAAAAATAAAAACCTATTAAGATCTAGATTGCCTTGCGTGCTTGTACAAGATATTGTTTCATCGGGAATAAAGAAAAAATGAAATTACTATCCCAAAATAATCAATATGTAATAGTAAGATTTGATTAAGCACATTGCTTATATATTTGTTCAAGCATTTGAATTATCACACTTAACCCTTTTGATGTCCACCAAATCTAGTTATAAATTTTGATGTATTAATATTTTTAGGTATAAGGATTAACATCGAAAAATGTAAACATTTTCTTCGACACAGAATATGGACGTCTCTCGAAGTATTTTATATTTCACATCTGCGTATTTGGCACACGATTCATCTGTCAAATGCAGCTCATCCAAATCCGAGGCTTAGTTTCACCCACACACATACACTTATGATGCGGGAGTTGCCTCCAGTTCACTGAATATTGTACGTAACTACGCTTAACTTTACCACAGAAATCTTACAACTTCTGCTTAACACCCTATATCTTTCAATCGACCCGCATTACAGCTATCTCGGCGAATGAATTTCACTCCAAAACAAATTGATGATATCGATTTCAGTATATATTAAGAATATCTGTTTTATTATTTTCTAAGTTCAACAAGCTCTGTAAAACCTAAGTGGTTAGCATAAACACTGACCATTTAGCATTTGCATATAATCATCATTCTAATAATATCCTCCTACTATTGGGGTATAAGCTTCCCCTTCCTTTATATAGAATCACAGAAGGGGGACGAACATTGGGACTGACTATAACACGTCAGCACGGTACGGATTTTGTCGTGCCTTCTGAAGCACCAACAAATAGAGATAAAATCATACAATATTATGGTATAGAGCTGGTAGTTATTTTGTTACTAATGTAGTGTTGAACAATTCATAACAGCTATTTCATTTTAATTTCTGCAGATAAATCATTTATTTTGTAATATTCATTCCATCTTTGACCTTAATAACGCCCACCTCAAATCCATAAACCGACAAAAAATTAAAGTTATTTTCGTGTTACTCGAGTGTTCATGCTCGATTGATTTTATCGAATTTGCCGTTCGAGCATCGTTGACCGAAATGAAAAAGGGGAGCATGGGTTTCGTTAATCACGTTATTGATGAGCTTAATTCCATTCCAGGCATTTGCTTTCAATTCGGCTATATCGTGTGATGTTGTTTGTTTTCTTTTACGATACGCTGAGTAAATTGTCGACACTTTCAATAAAACAAGAATAGGTACATACAATCAAGAAAACTGCTTACCTATATACTGAGATCTTATTTTCTTTTTACATTTTCTTTCGTGTATAAATCCATTCTTTGATATTGAAAATAACAGTTAAATAACCGTTTTTGTTATTTCACTAATTTAATAAAACATTTTTGGACAACACTAGTCTAATTTTGTATTCTAAAATCCAATTTATAACTTAGAAAATTGAGGAAAATTATCCATAATAATCTAATAAGCTCTTGTTTGATCAACTTGTATTTTACAATAGAATTTTCACTCGGATTATCTCTTAATTTTAAACTTATAATCGTTTAAGCATTACCATAATGTGTTTTACTCATACACACATGGATTTGAATATTACCATCTGAATGCACTTGCTAACTTGGAAACGCTTTCATTACAGGAATTAACATAAATGCATTGTTCACATTCTCCAAAATTGTTCATTTTGGAATGGCTTATATGGAATAGGAAACTAGGATCTGTGGAAGAATAGCATCTGTTTTTATATATGTATGAAGTTTTATTAATTATTGCGGATTTTGTAAGTTGCGTATGCTATTACGCGGAAATGCAAAAAGCATTTTATGCGAGTCTCTATTTCTGATTTTTGTAATGTATTACGGTGAAATAAATTTATCTGCAATTATATGTGCTTCTTTTTTAATGTATAAATAATTTAAAGCTACATAAAAATGAAGACATCCATAAAATATTAGCCTCAAAGTTGCCGGTTTTCTACATCATTTAATCTTGCAATTTTACCGAGGAAATGTTATTCACTGAACATTTTGACCGCCGGCGAGTCAATTTGTGTTCTTTTACGATCCTTTACATGCGTCATTTCTTATAAAAAGATGTACACGATCCTAAGGCTCTTGTGTATCTTGAAATATGATACACTATTACCTATCAAAAAAAGACCATATAAGCTGTGCCGTTCTTATTTTTGGTGTTCTCTTTGAAGTTTTAATAGTGATATCTTTAAATGATATATCTAGATACTAGATATAGGTTAAGAGGCAATGTAACTTAAAGTCCCCGTGATTTTCCTTCGAGTATTACAAAGCCAACGGAGAACATTTAGATGTATTCCTCTGTCAAGTGACGGAATTAAGTGACCTGCTATTTAAATGTATAGGTAATTTTCTCTGAAACTTCTATACCCAATTTGATTGAGAAATATATTTATGCTAAGTTGGTGACCTAAGACCGTCTTTTTACATTCGTGAACGTTCGTGTGATATGACTTAATATAGTACTTAAACCAATTACTTAGAGTTTTATCAAACCCGACTGAATAAAACGTAGTTATAGTTTGATAAATTCAAACGCTAAAGTTCGATGGCGTACGATAAAGTTCATAGAACGTAATTTCCAAACTTTCTCTTGAATTCGTTCTTCGTTACTGCGGTATACTCTATTAGTAATTTGTCTCATCGAGTCATCTTACTCTAATTTTGTCAATCAAAAAGCAAATTTACCATTTGCCATATTTGGCTTTTGTATCTGCGGAAAAACTTGATCTGAATAATAAATTTTTAGTCACCAATCCTATGGCCGGTGCTTGCGGAAGTTGTTTAACTTCCTTAACTTTAGCTCCGAACGTGTTAACTACTGCGCCATCTAGCTCAAGAACATGTAAAATCATCAGCCTATTAGGACCTTCTTACCCGAGTTATCGATATACGTAACACAGTTGTCGGTATAAATTACAATCTTATCTGGCTCCTCGCACGTCTTTTTGAAGCATCGAAATGTGAGAACATTTCAAATTTTATCAAAGGCAATTTGAACACATCGTCACATATCAAAATCGAAATGTTTTGATAAAATGTTAACCTAACGACAGTTCCTCGGCTATATTACATGAATGTATTATGAAGTGAGCAAAATGAGCTATATGAGCGATATAGATCGCGTTCCATAGAAAATGGCAAATGAAAAGAAAGAAACGTAATTTAGATTGGTAAATTACTTAAGACACTCGGGTGCTGCGTCCTGCTGTATGCTGTTACATTACTGTACAGATATCTACAGTAATCTGACAGCATAAAGCTTCGATTAAATAAAACCTTTATTTTATCTGACCCTTTTTATTTCATTGACGTGGGCGTTGATGTCACTTCTCATCCTGCTCGATAGATCCTAGATTAAACCTGTCCTTTGAACACCAATTGTAAAGCAACTCGCTCTAGTTGTCTCTGAGAATGGGGATTATTGACCCAATATTGGCAGCGGTATAAATATTTCGCTCACGGTCGTATGCCAAAAGCAGTCAAGCGAAAAATGAAAGGGGATCACCGAATCGCCAGACCAAAACATTTACATTCTCCGCAGTCAGAAGAGAATAAATTGAATTTTCATAAGATGAAGGATAAAATTATCTTGATGTTAAGTAATGTTGTACAATAAGTTTCTTAATATGAGTCCAATATGTATTTTGATAATTATACCTATTCTTAATATAACATAACAGACTTTCTGGTTACATTAATATGCATTATGCAGTAATAATTTTGCGTTAAAGTCATTAAGTTAATAACAAAACGTGTTTCTTCATAATGTTACTTTTACTAATTGCTAAAAATGGGGACTGAGCCATGTTCACTAATTTTCCTAAAATACGATGAAAAATAATTGGCCTACTATTCTGTTTTTGTGAAAATAAAGAGATATGTAATTTGTCAAATGTGAAGTAGCTACTGGATTTACGAAACTAGTTCTCATTTTTTTTGTTATGGAATACTTTTGGTAATAAAAATATGTGACATGGATGGAAACAAAACCTAGTTTACTGTTTATGAACTGCCGCTTTGCTGAAACATTCATTTCTTATTTCAAAAAATGTATTTAGATTCATCCGGACATTACCACTCTCTCTCTGTCTCTGGGATAGGCTCTCGGCAGAAATGCCACCAGGACCCTAGCAATACTTAACTGTGGAATGTTACGCAAGATCCGATCTTAGAATTTTCTGACTACCAAGCCTAATAATCGCTTACTCAACATATGCTCCAGCGGTTTGACATTTTATTGAACAAAAAATAAAGTCTTCTATTTTTTTCCCAGGCCCTGCTGCAGGCACATGATGTGGTCGCCCGCGAGGTTTACGGTGAAGAGTCTTTGCGCGCGTCTCCGCCTCCAGTCAATGGTCGCACCACCGCGCCACCGCCTGAGGAAGACGATGACACTGAACCTGAATTCGAGAACGTGACAAGGGTGCGCCTCGTGCAGTTCCAAAAGAACACTGACGAGCCAATGGTAAGTTAATTATTATTAGAACTCTTTGACCAGAGCGTTTGAAACAGGCAGCGGAGTGACGAAATTGTTTTGGCGCCATCTATACAAAACGTTTAGAAAAATACAACAAGTTATATCTAGACAACTAGCTTCCAGTTAGTTCTGAAATTCACCGCTTGTAACTGTAGACCAATTAGCGCTATAAATATTGAAGAAAAAAAATGTACTCTAAATTTCATTTCTACGAAGACTGATTATAGATAAATTATTGAAGTATTTTTTTACGTAAAAGAATAAAATGGTATATAAATAGATTTGTATGGCTAATATAAATGTAAATTACTAACGACTCTCTGATATTTAAAATCCATAATATATTTATATCAGACAGGGGAAAATCAATACATCAACTTCATATTTAGTTGATAGATGGGTAATTGTACATGTTTATTGAATCGTCTAGCTCGATTGAGCTAGACAGATGCGTTGGCCGGGATTGCAGCGAATCAGTGGACAGGATATTGCGTCTGCGGGGTGCAGTCTCATTATTTATTGATTTCAGAACCCAGGTATTCTAGATTCTCGTCTGGGGCTCAGTGTGTTAACGGAGGCTGGCAAGGAAAGACTGCTGACTGGTGTCGCTCTTCAATACCTGTTAGGGACATTTCTTTGTTCCTAACAAGACACCCCAGCTTCCGTTAACACCTCATAGAGTCTCCTGTTTAATTGCCTACCAGTTTGTTCCGGTTTACGTTGTATTTTCGATTACGTTTATCGTCAAATAAAAGTGTGAGTTACAAAACGAATAAAGCACTTAATGAAATATATTAATAGGGCCATTGTTTTAATATATTATTCTTTTTTCTGCTACAGGGCATAACATTGAAACTAGCGGATGACGGCCGATGCATCGTGGCTCGCATCATGCATGGGGGCATGATACATCGGCAGGCAACACTTCACGTTGGAGATGAAATCAAGGAAATCAACGGAACACCCGTCGCGAACCAGTCAGTGGCGCAGCTTCAGAGAATGCTGGTAAGAGCGTTTATTATTTTGTTTTTACTCACAATTTTATTTCTGTATTGTCTATATCTATATGTTTTCTACAATATCAAAATGACCAAACCGAAGCGAATTAATTTATTATGCCCCTGTTTACGCATTAACTTTATTTCCTGTTTTATTTGATTCCTTCATCATTGCGTTATCCTTTGTATTAACAATCTTTATATCTGCATATTTAAATTTTCATGTTTTTCGTCTTTCTCGTCGTTTTCATGTTTTTTTTTTATATCGCGATTTAATATTAATTTCATGTATTTTGGTGTTGTTTTCGAAGCTCTCGCGTTATTGATTGGTCCGCCATTTTGTTAATGCCTTACACAAAATGGCGGACACAAGACTTAACTTGCCACACCCTTATTTCAATTGGGCGGGGTTAAACGTTATATCAAAAGCTTACTGATCCTTGCCCAGGGGTCGACTTCTATCTTCACCATATTTGTCTTAATAAAGTCAGGTACCTTAATTCATTGAACTAATGTTTTAAAATGTATTTATAAAAAAATAAATTGATGACAAGTGAATCATAAACTTAATTAGCTTATAGCACGACAAATTTTTTTGTTATGAGCATTCTAGCGAAATATAAAATACATACGTAGAAACACATAACATTCTAAAGAATATCGCGTCATCAATGGATTGGTCCGCCATTTTGTAAACGCTTTACACAAAATGACGGACAAGAGACTCGAATTACCACACCCTTATTTGAAGTGGGCGGGTCCGCGTAAAGGATACCGATACTTATATAGGGATCGACTTTTATGTTCACCATATTTGTGTTAAAAAACTTAGTTACCTGAATTCATTGAAATTATAAGTAATCATTTAAACTGACTTTATAAAAAAAAATTACAAGTGAATAATTAACTTAATGAGCTAATTGCTAGACCTTAACTTTTTGTTATGAGCATTTTAGCGAAATTACGTAGAAATACATCATCAATCGGTCCTCCAGGATTTAGCTTTTCTTTTTGAAGCTCTCGCATCATTAATTGATCCTCCATTTTGTTAACTATTTACACAAAATGGCGTACACGAGACTCAATTTTTAACCCTTAGTGGAAGTGGGCGGGGTCCAACGTTATATGGCGTAAAGGTTACCGATCCTTGTAGAGGGATCGACTTCCATGTTCACGATATTTGTCCTATTATACATAGGTACCTTAATTTATTAAAATATTGTTTAATCTTTTACACAAATTAAAAAAAATAAATTGTGACTAATGAATTATGAGCTTAATTAGCTTATAGCTTAACTTCACTTTTTGTTATGAACATTCTAATAAAATTGAAATTACCTGGAAATACATATCATTCTAGAGAATCTCGCGTCATGAATCGATCCGCCATTTTGATGCGCCCGTGGAGTTGCGTGTGTCGAAATGTTCCGCCATTTTGAAATCGCGATGTTAAGTCTGAAGTGGGCGGGGTCAAACTTTTTATTACGTCAATGTTATGTTGCCAATTATCAATTATATTTATATCATTGCTAATATTTTTTAACCGAGTCGTATAATTCTCATTTCTGGATCTCTTTACGAATAATAAGGATTTGTGACAAGTGCTTACTTGAGTATTCGCTCTAATTTATCGTTGAATTATGTTAACATTTGGCATTTTGTCCTTAAACAATATTCAACGTTTCATTTGTTTTGTTACAAGTGAATGGATAGGGTTTACTTTAGTAAAGTGATTTGATTTGATGAGGTACAGTCAATAGCACGTCAGGTTATACAAAATTGCCAAATCAAATCTTCACTTTACTTTAAAACCTTAATGCATTTTCAGTAGAGTTCAAAAACAGTTAAGAAAATTTATACATATTGTCGCAAGCTAACGTTCATCCGTGTTAACTACAATCGAAAATATACTGATAAATAATTTTAAACAGTAGCCTGGATTGCGAGAGATTTCGAGTTCTATTCTGGTGGTACCTACCTAAGGATGGTGGAATTTTTGAACATTATTCTTAAAAAAAAATTAAGTGAAATTTATGGACTCCCAGACTACTTACTCAACAAATATTTTATGACGTTACAGCGCGAGGCTCGTGGTTCGGTGACATTCAAGATCGTTCCATCTTACCGATCAGCTCCTCCACCATGTGAGGTAAAACTTTTTTTTTTATTCAATTAAGGTTTGGTTTGAATTGTAGAGAATTTGTTCTAATACCTTTGTAGAGTGCGATGTTGTTTTGACTTTCAGTAGTATCAATATATAGTTTAATAAAACGTTGCTAGAATAGTAAAGCATTTTTGAAAATTTTCTAGATTAAAAAACAGTTGTTTTTTTTTAACAATACAGAAGAAAACAAAACGCTTGCTTCTAAACAATACAGTCGACAAGCGCACACAAATCTTCTTAATGCTTGTCAATAAAGCATAACACTGATTGGTTGTAAATAATGGCGGAATTAAAATTTTCTTGTATTTTTGTTCTAACTAGCTTTTCCGGATAAAGCCTTCGCCCGTGCTAGTAAGTAGCGAGACCAGACCTGATGCTACTTTTCGTCCTGTTACATCCATTTTTTTGTTGTGTTCTTCATGTTGTTCACTCGGGCATGGCAGCGCGTCCCCGCGTTTTCCGTTTCTGTGCGCTTGTTGTTCTTAACCATCGCTTAATACTGTCATCTCATCAATCAGCATCTCGTTATCATTATTGCAATCTCCTTTGACATTGTTATCTTCATCGAAGTCGTTTAGGGTCCGTTCATTAATCACGTGATATATTTTTTCAGCATATTTTAACTCGGAGAGGATCGGTGATACATGGTGAAATTTAACGTTTCAATTTAAGGCTAACCCCTCCCCCCTCCACCCAAATAACGTGTATCTTTAGTACCTGCAAAAACATTCTTTTAATTTTTGACGCCGCTTTTCGGCTAGTCATCGCGCGATTGAGGAAAAATACACGTGATATATTACTATACCCCTCTCCCCCTTGTGATATTTTGTGATTTTTGACGAACCCCTTCCCCCCCCCCCCCCCCTCGAGACTCACGTGATTAATTGACGGCCCCTTAGATGTTCTTCATCATTTTCTCTCACGATATCATCAAAATCTATGTCATCAACATCAAAAGTTTCGTCTCCGATCCCAAAAACAGCTGGAATGTGTAGCTTCTTGTGCAGTGAACGTTGGCAATGTCTTGGCATTACATTGTCATGCTACTAAATCAGTTGCGTTTCTAAAATCTGGACGTTTTCATATAATACGACATTTCAGATCTTCGTGAGGGCTCAATTTGATTATGATCCTCTGGAGGATGAGCTCATACCTTGTGCACAAGCTGGCATCGCCTTCAACACCGGCGACATCCTTCAGGTAAATATAATCCATATTATGGATATAAATCCTTTTATTCCTATTTTATTCTATTTTATTTTGCTAAGGTACCTAGGTACTAATTGCGTAAAGAAAGTCAGAGATTTTGTTTTACGGGGGCTACTAAGAAGAAACTTCAGAAATACATTTTTTACAATAGGGATGATGACTGGGTAAAGCAAAGAAATTATATTAATGTATTCCGTCAGTATGATAATAGAGAAATATTAGATACATATTTTTTTCTACAACTGAACAAGAAATGGCTTACATAAATAGGCATTAAAGTTGAGTAGTGGGGTCTCGCTACGTCACAACTATGTAGAAAATACGTGTATAATATTTTGTAATTATTTACCTGACGGACAACTAAACAAAAATTAGTTATCATTCATATAACAACCACGGTCGGGTCAATGTAGAAAATGTACTATACACCTTCGTTGTTCCGCATTTCCAAAAAGCGCTACTTAGGGCTCAGAGCAATGCATGTGATATTGTCTCTTACTGGTTACAGGTTATTGACGAAACTCAAAACTATTTTCAGATCATAAGCAAAGATGACTCTCACTGGTGGCAGGCACGCAAAGACGCATCCGGCGGCTCCGCTGGCCTCATACCTAGCCCTGAACTGCAGGAGTGGCGCGCGGCATGCGCCGCCGCCGAAAGATCTACCACCGATCAAGGTGACCGACCGAAGCTTAAAATTAGTTTGCTTCATAAGAGTTTTGATCGCTGCGATGGTATAAAACCACTTTTATAATAAAACTTTTTTTTAATGGACAAGGAAAATGAAATTAAAACAAAAAAGATGTTGGAACGCCATTTTTCAAGAATCTCTATTCAGATGATGATACTACTTATCAAAATTGAATTACTAGCTGTTACTATTTAATTGAATATAGCAAGATGGCCACAAAATTAACTCAAATTAATTTTTCTAACATAGGCAACATGTACAACATATACTTTTTTTCTTATGTCTATATTAAAAACCTTGAGTGTCATGTTCTCTAAATTGTTTATAAAATCTAAACAAATTTTTGTCAAAACAAATCTTCTATTAAAACATTATGTATAGTAAAAGTTCTCAGTCAGCTCCTGCACATTTAGAGAATGTTTCAGATCATTTGTTTTGGGGCATTTGTTATTAAATTGTAACAAAATTTATAAACTGCTAAAGTGGTCCGAAATTGCCGTTTTTGACATTAGTGTTTTGAAAGAGAGAAAAATTGTAACAAAGCTCCTACACAGTAGTAACGTAACCTTATTAAACAACATCTATTACGACAACATTCTTTACTGGTGTGTAACATTTTAGCACATATTTTTAGATGTTATAAACCCTTCCACACTTGTACCTACGTCTCGTTAGTTAAATTACAGTTAGTTAACAGAAGTTATTTACATCACTAACAATTCGTTATTTTTGTTACAGTTCATAAAAAAAGTTTGATAATAAATGCAACCTTTTTTAGTATTGTGTAGGAGCACATTTAATGATATAAATATGTATAACATACATATATCAAATTAATAACCCGTTACTACGAACATTCTGATTAGGCCCAAAAAACGTCGGGATATATACACATACCTATATATAAGTAGGTGGAAAAGTGTTAATACGATTCCCTTACAATTTGTAGCGAATTATAGCTTTTGTTTTGTTTTAACATCACCCGAGTGAAAAACAGAAAAAGGTTAACCCGAATCTGTCGGTTATAACATATTGTAACAAAATGTTACACACTGTTACAGAATATTATCGTCCTACACAATGTTTTAAACGTTATGTTTTTAACTTATATGAGCAGCAGTAGCGTCGATGTTTGTTTTAGATTAAAAACATTCAGAAGTTATTCCTAGATAAATTCTCAAAACTGATATTAATGATGTATGCCATTGCAGCTCCACATAACTCTTTTGATGCCTTTTATGTGCTAATTAGTTAACAAAATGTTCATAGGTATTTTATTTCACGTGAATTCTCATGAGTAGGTTGTCTATCTTCATTTTATACTTGGCAATGGTGATTATTTGAATTTAGTTTATCTATTTGGTTGTCATAGGAACATAAAGTGTGTAGTGAATACTTGGTTATGTGTGTGTACTATGTTATATTTTATTTTGGTTTTGTTTATATTTTTATCTAGATAAGTGTTTGTATTCGTTATAATATTTATTGTTAGTTTTATTATTCTTTATATTCAATTTCATAATATATCATTTAAAAATTTTATTGATATTGATTTGCCGAATTGCTGATTCAGTAAAAATGCGAAGTTTAATTCATTTCTCGTGAGAACGGTTATTTATTTATCATTATTGTTTGATTTGCGTAAACTAATTTATTTGAGACATTAATACATCTTCGATTTTGCTTGCAAACATTATCATTGGATGAAACCTGCAGTCGGTATGTAAAAATGCTTATATATATAACCGCGAGTAATACAAGCTCCCAATTGTGCTAAGTACCTATGTGAATACCTGAAGAGAGTCCACATTCACTGGAATTATTACTGCATGGTCTTACACCGAATTTGAAATTTTGTAACTTCCCGACCTTTATGTGGATATATTTACATTTAACCCACATTGTTACTATTATCTTTTTCCATTAATATAGTATAAAATATGTTGAGTATTTAGGTTACTGTCCGAATAGATGTATTTACAAAGGGAGTTTGTGTAACCCTAGTTATTGTTAATGTTTATTTGGAAATATTATGTCAGTTAAAATTTAAAACATATATTAAAGAATATCTAATGATTCTGCAAATGAGTAAAAAGAGAAACATATAAAAAATAGGTAAATGTATACGCAGCTAATTTGGGTCTTAAGCCAGTTTAGAAGTTTAGTTGTTTGTTTGCATTGAAATATGATAGCACTGGACTGATTTTAAAATTCTTTCACCTTTGGAAAACTACATCATATTTGCCATAAGATCTAATTTATGTGGAAGAAGTTGCAGGAGAACAGTTGATAGAATAAAATTTTATTTTTGCTTTGGCGCTTTAATGGATATAATAGTATGACGTCAATAGATAGCAGTGCAAGATTCTGTTTTGTGCACCGCCCACAAATACCTACACGTGCACACGCAGTGACAAATTATAGTGGCGATTTTTATTTTTCACCGTTTGTGCACATGCATTTATTTGCAGATGGTCAATGTTTATGAATTAATACTAAGGACAATTTGGTTTGCGTTAGACATTGAACTTTTACCACGACTTAGTTAATGAGAGTGCAATAAAAAAAAATGTAAAATCCGATATTGAAATACTGTATTATCAATTTTACGTAGGAGTGACTTAACGGATAAGTCCTATTATAGGTCGGAGCTATTTGTTAAAGTTTTTTAGTGGCCTAGAAATCATATTAGCTGAATATACATAATCTTTTCCAGAAAGAATTTACCTCTCGATTAGTCGAATAATAAATATAATCTTGTTATCATTAAAGTATTAAGATAATATTGACATAACATTTCCTTGCTGCGTGTGTCCCAAATGATATGATTAGTAGCAAATATACCATACCATTCCATTGCGTTGCATGACCGTGTTGTAATGTTGTGCCGCTAGGAGCCGAAGGATGCGTCTCACATACCGAAGGATGCGAAAATACAGGTAAATTACGATAATACTTTACCGAAATAATAGTTAATGAGCAGGTTATTTTTTTCTTTTATTTTACTATACCTTAGTTATTATTGACAACAGGTAAGATATGATTGAAGTTTGAAAAAATAATACATACCTATTCTGTTTATAAATTAACTGTTTCTAAAAATAGATTAAAAACAGGACAAACTTTCTGTTCTATAAGACTGGTTAACAATACGTTAATAAAAATTATACATGATTTACACTTTTGTTCAAACAAAAAAATTATTGACATTTGTTTTCAAAATATTGAATTGGATTGAATTTTTTACTAAAGGATAATACTTATTGATATTGATCCATTCTGCATTCACGATGCTATACTGAAAACTAATCTTAATGAATAAGCATTTTTCATATCACTGAATAATTGATATGTGTATAAATCACGTGATAAACGACAGTTATCTGTGCACTGCCCGCAAATATTTACAATTACACAAGTGGTATTAAATTGTGGTGGTTGCTGGACTCATTGTATTTATTTGCAGTTGGTGGACAGATATCATGCACATTAGTCAGTAAAATTTAATTGGTTAGTTCTCCACCGAATTCGCAATGAATTCAAGAACTTGTTTCAGTGAACTGCTCAATATTCGGGCGCAAGAAGAAGCAGCCCAAAGACAAGTATTTGGCCAAGCACAACGCGGTGTTCGATCAGCTCGACGTGGTCACTTACGAGGAGGTCGTCAAATTACCATGTTAGTAACCATTTTTATATCAAAGAAACGAAGCCAAGTTTTAATCTCTAATTTTCTATAGCGTCACATTAGTACTGAGTACCTAAACGTTATACATGCGGGCGAGTTTAAATAAGAAAAGCAAAAATAAAATAATGTATTTAATAATTAAATTAAAGAAAAACGCGATTTCAATTGCATTCAACAAGAATAGCCCACGTATCACAACTCAACGAACCGTAAGCAAGGATAAAAAGTGCCCTTCAAAACGCTTTTATTAATTTTGGATGGAATCGCTACATATTTTTATAGCTCAATTATCACACTCATTAATATACTAACTAGCAAGTTAAATAAATACTTTTTTTTTAATTAAAACTATACTATACGTTTTAGCTTTCCAACGGAAGACAATAGTGCTACTAGGCGCTCATGGCGTTGGACGCCGTCACATCAAGAATACGCTGATCGCACGTCACCCAGATCAGTACGCCTATCCAATACCCCGTAAGTAAACTTTATAAAAACAATAATTCGACATATATTAAATTCTGAGATGGAAATGAAGCAATAATTTTGTGTTTTTAAATTAATAGGCATTTTTGATTTTGTCATTATTATTATAGCATGACGGTTTTTAAAGTCTTTTAATTTTCCAGATACTACTCGTCCACCAAGATCTGACGAGGAGAATGGGAGGCATTATTATTTCGTGTCCCACGAAGAGATGATGGCCGATATTGCTGCTAACGAATACTTGGAATATGGTATGATGACGACTTGGTTTCAAATTTGAATACTCAGCAGTGAATATGGATAGACAAATTGTTCAAATTAGATTTCTCTGGTTTGGTCATCTGTCCATTTTGTAATACTCAAATTACTCAACTCGCTTTTTAAACGTGTCTCTCTTCTTGTCAGTCCCTCATGTCTGAGGATCGTGGTCATCGTCAGCGTTACATCTGGTGAATGATTTAGCTCCACTATATACTATCCAGCGCATCCCCCTATGAAACGGTGCAAAATTTGGACAGTGATGAGAATTTTTCTGGATCTGCTTACTAGTTGGTATACGAACGCGTGATCTTTTGCCTTCAGCGCTTCCAACCACAATCAGTTTGTTCAATCTTTTATCTATCGCCTTTGCATATTGTGCGTATTTGTTATTGTATATATGTATTTAGTCTTTCTCGGACCAGAATTCTCCATATTATTCTCTATTTAAGAAGAGCTCGCATAGATCTTGGTTTTCACACCAACTCTTATTTTATTCCAAATTTTGTTTAGAATCACTTATCTGGATGGCAAAGCGTCCTTTGTCGATATAGACAAAAGAAATGCTGCAGGTGAAATTTGTTAACTTTCAAGCTCAATCCACTATAATGACTTTTGCTTTTGTTTCGTCAATACATATAATTTGTAATCCACAATAGTCTAGTTGCAACACAACATTGATATTGCTATCGCCAGTATTGGTAACTTACCAAATTAGGAAAAAAAATAGTCTGTTTCATCAAAGTGACAGGTTGACGCAGTGAACCCAGTCTAATTAAGACTTTCATCCTTTACATAGTCTTAGAGTCTATTTTTTAATCTCCACCACTATTTCGATTCCTTTTTATTATTAAAAGTCATAGAAAAAGAATTGTTGTTTATTATGCCAGTTATTAAGTCCTACGTGGTTGCTCGTTTTTTTTCTCCAAATAATCCTTTACAATTAATTATAATAGGAACGCACGAGGACGCAATGTACGGGACTAAGCTGGAGACGATTCGACGCATCCACTCAGAGCGTCGCATCGCTATCCTGGACGTTGAGCCTCAAGCGTTGAAGATACTGCGCACGGCGGAGTTCGCGCCTTACGTCGTGTTCATCGCCGCGCCGCCGCTCAATAATGTCGCTGATGTGAGTACTTTCATCACCAGCCCTTTTACTATTGCAGAGGCTCAGGCCTTCCTTATGGATGGTTAAGGAGGATGGGCCATGACCCTCCACGCTGGCCCAATGCGGATTGGAGGGTATTAACGACTTCAAATGCAGCCGGGACCAACGGCTTAACGTGCCTTCCGAAGCACGGAGTAGTTCGAGATAATAATTTTTTGGTCACCCATCCCGTGACCGACCCTTGCGAAAGTTGCTTAACGTCTACGATCGCGGGCCGCGGCGCTTATCCAATACGCCACCGAGCTACCCTTGAGTACTTTGCAGCGACTAAATCTTTGTTCTTCTGATCTTAGCGCACAACTCTGCTATAACGTGATCGTTCATTCGACGTAGTATGCGATATAATGTTTGACTATTTTGTCCAATAGTTTTGGAGCCTATTCGTTACAATCAATCAAAGCCTTCCTCTTTATAGTTTTGTAAAAGATTTGTTTAAAGATAATTTAATAAAATACTTTAAATTACTCTTTTTATTGATAGAATAGATAAATAAGCATCTACATATCATATCTTTAACTGCTCCGTGTTTTTTGAGAGCACGTCAAGTCTCTGGTCCCGGTTGCATGCTTCTGAAGCTACTATTTGTCCGTTTCCCGGTTGTCTGTGCAGTCGTAAATACACGCCTATTCGTATTATGCTCGCGTGGTGGGTTGTGCCCAATTCTTCCTCTTTAATTTCATCCACAGGGAAGTCCTTTGCTCCACCAGTAGGGACATCAATAGACTTATTAAGGTTATTATTATCTTATAATCGGTTGTTTCGTTACAGTACGACGGCTCCCTAGAGGTGCTTGTACGTGAGTCTGAACAGCTCAGACGCACGTATGGCCATTACTTCGACCTGAGCATCGTAAACAACGACATAGACGACACACTCGCACAACTAGAGGCGGCACTTGCTCGTTTGCGGTCCACCCCGCAATGGGTGCCGGTGTCGTGGGTCTATTGACAAACTGATTATTACCTGTAAACATATACCTGATTATTTTAATGGGCTATTTCACAATGTTAAAAATAAGTCATCACTTTGTAAAAGTTTGCAGGGATATATTCTATTATTTTATTAAAAAACACTTTAAAAAACCGTGAGAGGATTATTTAAAGTTTTTTTTTTTGTGCCTCTGTAAATGTCATGTCAAATTATGTTATTTTACATTAATTTTCAACATCTCTAAAATATAAATCTAATGATATTTTATTTACAGATTTAATACGGCATAAACGTAGGGTAATGGTGGTGACTCCCTACTACTTGCATAAAAATTTATTTTTGTTTTACAATATTTTTTATTTATAGTTATACCTATTAGAATAAAAGTTTTTAAAACTTGTCAAATAGCCCATTAATTTTTAAAACACATTGGTTAAGACAATTCTCAAATTGACATCACACCAATGTAACTCGACTTTTGACTTTGTCTATAAATGTCTTTTCCTTTTCTCACTTATTATAATTAGAATAAGTGTGAAAAGGGAAAGACAGCGATGACAAAACTCTCAGAAATATGACGTAGGGATCGTAATAAATCTACTTTTTAATGTCTAAACATTAACATTTTACTGTTTTATTATATTTTTTCAAACACCACGTTTATGTAGAATAAATATTTTGTTTGTGTACGTTACATTAATTTGGTTATTGTTATGAGTATTGTTATGACGCAGTAGGTATTACGCAATACCTACTGCGTCAGTGCCCATCTTCTGTCCCTTTTCGCCTCAATTGTGTATTTATCGAGAAAGAGACGAGATGCTTAGATCTCTGTCACATTGAATTGTTTTCCATCCCTTTTGTTTTTTTTTATACAATTATCATCATCCCACAATAAACAGTAGATTTAATTACCGCCTCTTCTCGGCATGATATTAATATATAAATTTTGTTTAGATATTTTTAGACATACCGCATCAATATATTTTGATACTTACCACACTTATTTTAAAGTTTATATTTCTTTAATTATATTGTCGATAGTAAAACCATAAAATTAAACTTATAAACTCAATTTAGTCATAAGTTACATGTCGATTTTTTTTTTTTTTTTGCTTTAAAAATATTTTACTTAGATATATTCAAACTATTTGGACGTGACAGAATTTATAAGTACATACTTATTATTTTATGAAATTAAATATATGTGCCGCCGCAGCCGCCGTCACCGCCGCTGCCGATTGTGATTTAATTTATATTTAATAAATTGTGATTTAATTATATTATATACCTTATTACTTACACCAATGGTTGCTCATTTTTTTGTGTGCCAAAATTATTTGTAAATAATATTAAGACCTTATCTTTTTAAGAACACGTTTCGTATGGACTTGAGTTTTCACTCGTATGTACTTAGCTGAGATTTTTTTTAATGAGTTAATATTTTTTCTTAGGAAATAGGCGTTATACGGGGGACTTTATAAATGTAGCATATAGCATTTTAAATGCATGATTTATATACTTTTTGTATAATTATTTATTCTAAAAATGCGTTTATATTTATTTGTTGGATTATGTTTTATGATTGATGTGTTATTTAATTAATTCATAAACAAATCGGTTATATGTTTATTGTAAACAGCAAATCTCTGTACTTATGTTTATAATTTATATTATTAATATTATGTGAATCTTGAGTCTGGTGTCAACAAATGCGGACTCCTTGAAATTTTTCCTTTGAACCCTAAGTTGTAAAATAGATAAGAATTTTTGCAATTTCTTTACATACTTTTGTACCTTTCGCTCATTCGCATGCTTAAATGAACGTGCACAAACCTCGCGACAACCGCAAACACGTACACTGCACCCCGAGTGGTTAGCACATCTCCAGATGATGCTCCATGTAGGGACACGTGTACGGGAGTTGGTGCTAGTTGCGAGTTATCTTCGCTTGTGCATGTTCATTTACTAGCGATCGGTGCAATAGTATCTTAAATGCACTTTTGCGTGCGGAAGTTGCTAAATATTCAAGGCAAGTCACTCTAGGGCTCAATACTTGTCTGCCTCGCAAGGGGTTATCTATTATTACAACATTCCTTAGTGCTTTTCCACAAGCGCAATGTGATGTTTATTTGTTTCATAAATCCTTTGTCGGTCGTTTCGAACGCGGAGCACAACGCGAAACAGGCTGTTTCTGAGACGTCATCGACGCTGTTGATGACGCCACGGCCGGCTGCCGTGTTTACACTGACCCGTTCATTGTAGACATCCGCACCTGTTCCGTGAAACGGAACGTGTCGTATAAGCCGCGTTCGTGACGAACTAAACGCGAACGAATAGACAGCACTTTGTTGTGGAGAAGGTTGTAAATATATGTAAATAACCATTAATGTACGTAATCACTAAGCTGTAATTGTCGATCAGTGAATTTTTGAACTTGGTCATGTTGCGGTCGACCTGCATAAAGCATGTGGTTTGTTGTAAAATATTGCCTTCCAACACAATATTTTACAGCTTTTCACTTTGCTTTGCGTCGACCGCAGCTTTGCTAATTTAAGATTCAGTGATAATACTCGCACTTACTTATACCTAATAACAGGTCTAAGTAAGTGTGAATAAAAGCTCAATAAAAAGACTACTTCTGATTATTGAGCGGTTACAGCGTTGATGATAAGCAATAGCACTTCAAAGCACGTGGATTACATACCTAACTATAATAAATATAAATTTAAAAAATGTAGTGAAAGGACAAGACGTATGTAGGTTGTGGTGCCGGTATCACAGAGTTCTTTATTTGAAAATATATAACTCATGTTGCCACCAATAAATTTTAATTATTACCACAAATTTTTATTGGTAAATTACTGTAAGTAGTAAATTTTGTTGCCGTTATGAAAATTTTATTGATCTTGTAATAATAAAGTATAAATCATTAATACACATGTCGCTGGCTTAATTATCGAAGTTTAGTAATTTATTTTTTGTGTGATCAACGCCATCTAGTGTAAAACATCATAACGAACACATATTGTTACTAAAATAGTGAATTCCAACTAATATGGCGCCTAGTGAATTTTTGTTTGCGGAGTGCAGACATACGAAAGAGAATCACAAATATAATTAAAATTTATATGAGTCTTGTTTGAAAAAGTAACTTACGTTACTTATGACCCTACCACATGGGCCAATTGCGAATCGGTGAGAATGTTTGACCAAAAGGTAGTGATTATGGTCTTAAGTAATCTCGGTTATAATTTATCAGAAATCGATGTTTTTGGAATCGATTTTTTGCCATCGAAATCGATCTCAAAATCGTCGTAAAACGAACAAATCGTAAATTGATCTTTACTATTGTTTTGAAGATTTTATTTTCCACGATAACTTTCAAAACACCTTTGCATAAAGTATAGATTTTTGATAGATCGATCTTTCGTCATAAATTTTTCCCGAATCGACCTAAGAGGCTCCATATCTTGAAGTAACAAAAAAAAAAAACTAAACGCGTTTACCACTGCACCACCACTCGAATGCACTCAAAGACGATTTACCATAGGCCATGTTAGTTGAAAACTACTATTCGTAACTTGATAATTGCCAGTGATTACCATTTATATTTGAGAGATAGGGCTGAGCTCTTATAAGGCAGTTGTAATATTACAATTCCAACGAAGTTGGTGTATTGCCTTTGCGTTCTAATGAGATATAGCCCTGAATAACATTCTGAGTACAACATTCTCTGTAAGAAAGCTTTGCTTTATTGGGGAAACCAGGGAAACATCGAATGTTCTCTTATTTAATAAAATCTAAATAATAATTTTATTACTGTTGAATTCATAAACAATTTTAACGAGCTAGTGTGTTATTTCAACTTAATAATTTTCTGTAATTGATTTTATTGAAATCTGATTACGTGATTGTATATTTATTTCGTGAATGTGAATCTAGTACAATTGTTTAAAATTTTATTATTTTGGTTATTAGTGCTGCTCCTAAAAGGACAAAGTATTTTCAAGAGTCTATAATATACCTACTAAAAATAATTTTACTATATTATATTAATTAAAAAAGTATTACTTATATAATAGTGTATTAAGCATCACAAACAATTTCCAACCCAAGACATTCCATATTGTTTTATTGTTGTTATAATGTTTTTATATATCCCTAATTTATATAATTGCATAAATAAGTTTTGTATGTGTGAGGAATTTGATCCAAATGTGATGTTTTCGAAGTAAGCTTTTATATTTTGTTGGATGTGTTTTCTACCATCTTTGTTGAATTTATCAGTTAAAGTTTTGATGTTAACAGGTTATTGGATATTATTCTTGTGGTTTTATGTTCAAACTAATTTAGGATAACGAAAAATAAGAATAAAAAAAAGAATTTCCTGAAAAAAAATCTGTAGAAAAAAAAATATAATTATACTTACACATTATTAAATAGTTTAAATATAAAATCACATGAAATCTAAAGGGTAGCTCTATAAATTAACCTATCTACCTAATAATTTAACTCTAAATTTTGTTCACTGTTCTATACTGAAATAAAATGAAAATAAATGTTTCTATTTATTTCAATATACATAATTATGTAGACATGGTTAAAACAATGATACAATCAGAAGGAAGTAAATGACAGTAGCTATCAAAACAAGGTGGAAAGTAAAGTTGACTGAAAATGGTAAAATCTTAATATAACTGTTAAAATTGAATAAATCGCACAAAATAACATGGTTTATTTTATTTCCCTCTAATACTTGCGACGAGCACGATATTCGGTCTGCCATGCGAAAGTTAAGCAACTTTCGCGAAGGCCGTTCATAGGATGGGTGACCAAAAATTTATTTTCTTGTGCTTCTCCACGCTTCGGAAAAAACCGTAGATCCCATTTGCATCTGCAGTCTTTACCGCACTAATTGACGCTTGGCTCGTGTGGTGGATCATAGTCCATTCCCCTATCGTTACTAAATAATGATAGGGAACGCCAGTGCCCTAGCAGTGGGGACAATAATAATCTGATGATATTGTGGCGATTGCATTGGATTTGTCTAATGTTGTCTTACAACTTGGCACGAGATCCACCGAAACAAACTGAAGGTACTTCAATTATGGACATCACAATCTATATTTTCCATAACAGTCGTAATGGCTAATGTACATAGCGACATCATATTAAGGATCTGGCAATATTGGTGTCTAAAGTATTTTACAAATGGCAACATTAAATTGACCCATATTGTTAAATCATTCGCAACCCGTAAAAAATATCAAACATTAAATGTGCCACTGAATAGAAGAAACATTTGTGACTTTTAGTTACGTGCCTGACTTTTAGTAGACTTCCATACAAATGGCAGAGCAGGAGCACGGTGAAGACAAAAAACATAATGACAAAAATCACCAGGGCGCACGTAACTGAACTCTGGCTGAGGGGGCGACCTGGGGGCCTCCAAACAAAAGTTAAAAAGGTAAGGTGAGATTCTTATTGGGGTTTTTTCATGCCACTCTATCATACCAAAAAAAA